ATAGCCTTGTCAGATCGAGACATTCATATGGATGTCATGCATAGTGTCAATCCCATTCAGAAATATCTAAATTGTCACCTGAATACAACCGATTTCTCAAATCAATGGTGAAAAAGGCTTTGAGCCAGTGAAGGCTGAGAGTCTTGGCAAACATAATCCATTTTAGATTAACGCTACACATTCACAAACAAAGAACTGTACCAAATAACAGATACCACATCACTTGAGGATTTCCATCAGCAGCAAATACTAAAATGGACATCACATGTAACTCGTGGAGAAAACAATAACATAATTAAGATTTTAACATTCCTTACTATTTCAAATAAAAGGTTGAGAAGGAAACCCCCCCCCCACGTCCCCGATCCCATCAATACAGGAAAGAGCAACAGCTAATAGACTTGAAAAAAAAAAATTCCTGAAAAATTGTTTTACAAGAAATATTTTATAAATTTCAATCGAAAGCAGTACTGGCTGCTCAGTCAATGAATACTAAATGTTTCCTTGTAGGGAAACGGCTTGTATTACCATTAACACTACTATCTTAATTCACTAAAACAAACAAGTCTGTGTTAACACATCCTATCAATTAAGTCATGAGTTACTATTATTATTATTATTATTATTTATATACTCATTAAATGAATTCTTTCTGTTGACATTAATTTCTCTATTTTGTTTGTTTTGTGTATTTACCCGAAAAACCGAATTTTCATTTGCTTTCTATTTATCCCTCATTCCTCTGTTATTTTAGAAAATAAATATTTGGTTATCAGCGCCGAATAAACATTCAACCTCGGGAGACAGCAATAATTAATAAATGTTATCAGTGCTGATTAAATATTTTCACTTAAAACTGCATTATAAATCGGTCCCAAAACGATATCATCTGGGCGAGTGGCGAATCTACTATGAAATGAATAAATGGTTGGTTTCAGAATGGCATCGGAGAAACGTATTTTAATGAGTGAATTTCGCAACAAAATTACTATTTTTTTCTTTTATTTATTAAGCTATTTCAGTGATAGATAAGCGATGGAAATGCTTAATATTAGGCTTACGGGTATATCATGTTGTAACACCAATCCCCGAAGTTAAGCAATGTCAAGCCTAGTCAGAATCTAGATGGGTGACCGTCTGGGAATACCAGGTGCTGTAATCTTGACTGTGCAGGTGGTGTAATGGATAAGGCTCCGATTGGGAAGTCAGAGAGCCGGCTTCGAATTCCTGTCGAGTTTATTACGTGCCGATATCCTTGGAAAAGGTAGAAATCCAACTCTTCTCCTTCATCTATGGGTTAAATAGTAGGACTTGTATTTGAATAGGTCATTGTTGTCTCAAAAACGTTGTAATTACCTTTGGGAAAGTTAGGAATCAACCGCTTCTCACCTATATATGGGTTAAATAGTAGGACTTGTATGTGAAAAATTATTTTTTTATCTCCAAAACATTGTTATGCGGTAATCACATGCAAAAAATAATTATTCATACAATCAAAAAATATGCTTCGACTTTAAATAGGCTACAAAAGGTTGATAAGCTGTAAAAAACAAATGAATTAATCAATACTTAATATTGACCTCAGAATGGCTTAGGGCCATATCACATTGGAACACAGGTTATCGTTCGATCACCGAAACAAAGAACGTCGAGTTCGGTCAGTACCTAGATGGGGTGACCACATGGGAATACCAGGTATTCCCAGCTTGGATATGCGGGTGGTATAATGGATAACAACTTGAATGAGAAATCGGAGAACCGAGTTCGAATTCCAATCTGGTTCGTGACATTCACTTACGTGCAAATATCGTTGGACAATTATGAATCGAAAGGAGACATGATCACCCAAACGTTTATCATCCTCCCATACCAACACGCATTGGAACAGTGCGGTTAGGCTAATGGTCCATTCCTCTTCATGGATATTGGAAAAGACCTCGTCCAAGAAAGGACTTTCACAGTCTAAGAAGAAAAGACGAAGACCTCAGAATAACAGATACCACTAACTTGAGGATTTCCAACAGTAGCAAATACTAAAATGGATATCACAGTAGAGAAAACAATAACATAATCAAGATGTAACACCCATTTAATATGACCTCAAAATGTGCTTATAATTGGTAAAATTTCAAAATTATTTCAGGGACTTGCAGTTTCTACCCAGATCAGCTATATGGGCACGCTTATCTCACCAAAATCTATCTATAGACTACATTTTGACAGCTGGGTCCACGGATTTTCGTTGCAGGCTTGAGATGGAATAATAAAAATACATCCGAATTCATGGTGCATTCGTTTCGCTGGTTCATTTTAAGACCAAAAATAGGATTATCACCTCTTTAGTTTAACGAACCTACACCGAATGATCTCCCCGTAAGCTTCCATTTTCATTAGCTGTCTGCAGCTCCTTCATATTTGTTGGCACTTGATTTTTAGTGCAAACAGCTATCACACCCCATTCTCGATCGGGCTCATGTTGGCCGAATGTAATGGCTATGTTATTCCTGTCAAGGTTCAAAGAAATTTTTGATACGGGTGTCTTTTCCTACTGGAATAACCGATGGACATTAGTGCACATGTAGTCCATGAATGACTACAGATGATGACGAAGCGTTGCAATATTAACAGCTAATGGTCAATAGAGTTCAAATTTAATGAAATTAAAACCTTTGGTCCACCTTAGTGTCCTGTCTACATGTTGAATGATATATAAATTCGTCTATATTGGACGACATTAATAAATTCGGAAATTATATGTCTCAAAGTGATTCCCTTATGATTATAGGGTCAAAGCGTTATCAGGTAAATGACAATTCTTCTTTATTTTCTCACGTGTGGTAATCATTCACGTGTCATAATCATTCAAATATATCCTCTCGCATCATTCAACATTTTTATCTCGCGTCACCATTCTAAATTTTACTCTCCCATCATCATTAAATATTTTCCTTTTTTATGCCCGTTTTAAAATACTTATAATTCATTTACCTTGAAATAGCTCTTATAGTCAATCACGTGTTGATAAGATCTCAACTGCCATGCACTGCTTCAATTCTGTAGTAGTACGGAACATCTTTGCTACAAGGAGTGCTTTCCCATCTGTCCGTAAAGTTATCTTATCGTTTTAAGTGTCGGTGTGAGGCCGACTATGTGGGAAAGACTGTAAAACGGCTGGAGGTGAGGATTGCGAAGACCATGCCTGGCTATATACGTAAACATGCTCGGTTAGCGTCGGGTCAATCACAGGCGCATTAGTCTGCCATCAGGAATTATTTATTGAGTTCAATGAAGCGTTCTTCTTCTGTGTTAGGCTTTAATATCTTGGATGCGGTTGTTATCAACACATCTCGTCAGACTCTGTGCAGGCAGATGGAGTTGAAACATAAATTGGCACTCTTCGGGGATTCTTTGCCTTGTTCTGGGCAACTTTAATTGTCTTCCTTCCCCTCCTCGTTGTCTGTCTTAATTTTATTGCAAGGAGGTTTGTTTCTTTTCAGTAGTTTTTCTTAATTCCGGATGAAAGGTTATCGGGACGATACTTTATATCCGGCATTTTGATTAATAAAATATTCCTTGTCTTAAGAATAATATTTAAGTTTGGTAGTTAAAAATCTTATTATATATATATATATATATATATATATATATATATATATATATATATATATATATATATATATATATTCCTTAGGTGAAACTTGGTATCAGGCTCTTAGCTTTAACTAGGTCTGCTCTACTTACTGTATCGAGCACTTTATTTAGTTATTTTGCCTTATACTTATAAGATCAATACATATATATATATATATATATATATATATATATATATATATATATATATAGTGAGGGAAACAAATTTATATAGAAATTTATTGGATACTATATTTTGATTCTTCTCATGCGGCACTCCTATCTTAGTACACAAAGTTTATGTTTAGATAGAAATGCCGATCCATACATAGATAATCTTTTTAGTTTTTGACGGGTACTATGCAAACATAGAATATATTATATAATAATAATGGTATATATATATATATATATATATATATATGTGTATATATATATATATATATATATATATATATAAGTGTGTGTGTATTTAATTCAAAATTGACGATCAGCAAATTGTCCATTGTATTAGGTGACACAAGCATTTCTCTATACTCCCACGTGATAACGCAATTAGTAATATCATGGCCCCCTGGATCATAAGGGAATCACGTTGAGACTTTACCAGAAAATGAGAGATGAAACCCTCAAAGATTTGCGTCAACGGAATGAAAATGTAATAATTTCACTATTTTCAGCGCATTCGTGTTGTTGGATCTGTGAATCTTCTTCATTAAGTTTTCTTATCACCTTTTCTTTGTATTTCTTACTGCACCCATTTTTTTTTTATAGGATAACAAGATTGTTTATGATTTTATTTCTTATTTTGTTGTTTTTCTTTTTCGTTTTGTGATACTGGAGAGAAAACTGAGAGCGAGGCCAACTTATTCTCTGACTACCACTTTTTCTTCCATTTTCATTCTTATTAAAAGCCATTCATATAAATCTCTGAATAATGAGGCTGTTTTATGCCCTAACGCCATCTCTTTCTTTGTTTTGCATGCTAAAGGGAGGAAAAGAATGCGTAATCTTGCGAAGCGTTAATAACTTTGCATAAAAGACAAACGAACTTGTATTTCATTTTCAATATCTCTTCATCTCTTCCTATTTGGCTAGCGGTAAAAATAACACAAATCTGTATTTAATTGATTATATGATGCGCTCAGTAATGAGGCAAATCTGGTGTGATTTTATTTTTTCATATTTATTTACTAGCTTGACGGGAAAATGGTGGTGTCTCTCAGTTGGCATTAACGTGTCTCTGAAAACTGAAAAACAAACCCCAGAGGAAAGCAATTTATATAATTAATTCACATTCAAATTCCACACCAGTGCGATAAGAATGATATATATTTAGATTCTGTAAAGAAATGTTTCTATCACAAAAGGTACAGATCCACTTTCTTTTCTCACGTGTCGTAATCATTCACGTGTCATAATCATTCAAATATATCCTCTCGCATCATTCAACATTTTTATCTCGCGTCATCATTCTAAATTTTACTTTCCCATCATCGTTCAATATTTTCCTTTCTCAACGTCATTCAGCATTTTCTTCTACCGTCATTATTCAAAAATATTCCTCTCACATCATTCAATATTTTTCTCTCCATTAATCATTCAAAATGTTCCTTTTCCCGTCGTCATTAAATATTTTCCTCTCTCGTCATTATTCAAAAATATCATTCTCTCGCCATCATTCAATATTTTCCTCTCCCTTCATCGTTCAAAACATCCCTCTCTCGCAATCATCCAATATTTTCCTCTCCCTTCATCATTCAAAATATCATTCTCTCGCCATCATTTAATATTTTCCTCTCCCTTCATCATTCAAAACATCCCTCCCTCGCCGTCATTCAATATTTTCCTCTCCCTTCATCATTCAAAATATCATTCTCTCGCCATCATTCAATATTTTTCTCTCCCTTCATCATTCAAAATATCATTGTCTCGCCGTCATTCAATAGTTTTCTCTCCCTTCATCATTCAAAATATCATTCTCTCGCCATCATTTAATATTTTTTCTCCCTTCATCATTCAAAACATTCCTCTCTCGCCATCATTCAATATTTTTCTCTCCCTTCATCATTCAAAATATCATTCCCTTGACATCATTTATTATTTTCCTCTCCCTTCATCTTTCAAATGTTTCTTCTCTCATCGTTTAACATTTTCATCCATTATTATTCAACAATTTCTTTCTTCCATCATTATTCAACATTTTCCTCTTGCATTATCATTCAAATTTTCCTCTCACATCTTCGTTCAATATTTTATTCTTCAATAATCATTCAATATTTTTCTGTCCCTTCATCATTCAACATTTTCCTAATCCATCACCAGTAAACATTTCCTCTCCCGTCATCATTTAACATTTTTCTCTCACATCCTCACTCAACATTTTCCCCTCCAGCATCATCACTTTTTCTGTAAATAATACATCAAAATTTTACATATATCTTGAGGAGATTGTTCTGATTTCATAAATTAAATGGAGTTTTATAGCAACTAAAATATTGTGAACAACAGATAGATTTTGACGAACGAAACAATGTTGAAGATAGGTTGTTTAAGAATCTAGATATGAATAAAATAGTTATAATAGCAGCTTTTACGAGTACTTAGTCTTCTCTTTCTGGGTTGCCTTCTCGTTGTTGTATATTCGAGAATAAATACCACCCACTCGGTTTTATCATTTATCATTGGAAAAGCGTTTTTAGTTATTTATTCATTTTTGGTTTGCTTATAAACGATATTACCCATTAATCCTGTAAGTATTTGGTGGCTGAATATACTTGCATTTTTTATTTTATTATACTGCTATTTATATCATCCTCATATCTGCGACATTCGGTGTTTTGAACGTGAATTCTATTTAAATGCAACGTGGGCGGTTTAGAAAATGTTCTGACTTTTGAAAAACAGATGCCTCGTCTGTATATTGAGTAAGGTTGCTGACAAGAGCTTGTTTGTGAATCGATTTTATAGTTAATGTAGATTTACTTAATTGAACATTGAAAAATAGCAATGTTTTAACAAGGCAATCTGATCTATCTTTTTTTTTCTTTCCTTTATTGAGAATACTTATCCATTTTTTCGATTTCTTTCAATTTTCCGATGTAAAGGATGTTTCATTAAGACGGATTATATATAAGGATCAAAGTCAGCAATAAATAAATCAGTGTTATTGTTGAAAATTTATTTATTTCTCTATTGGATCATGTTATTTAAGTCATGGTAATTATGTGTGAAAAAGAATATCGCCCAAATGTCCGCCAAATCTGAAAATAAAAGAAAAAAAATCATAAGACGCTTAAACTTAATTCACATTAAAATCGCTCTTTAGTTATTGCGACATTCACCCGGGTTGGGTCGGCTCCGTTAAACGAATCAGTCGCACCCCGAATAACGTTCAAATTCATAGTAGGATTTTCAGCGGGAAATTGAATTCCTAAGCGGTCTCCAGACGCGTGTATGCGCACTTTAGGATAGTGCAAGTCGAGCGGTTCCAGACGGAGGCTAAAATAAAATTAATTTTCTATTTCATATGGTTTGACATTATGATCACTTTGCCCTATATACATTTACAAGTATCTACCCTCTTTCTAACAGCACTGAACAGTTGTAATACAAAGTCCATTTCTCATATGTATAGCGTCTATCGCAGTCAGGATCATAGTATTATTAGGAATTATACGACCCTTTCGTTGGCTACATCGTATGTGCTTCGCCAAAGGAACGTACGGTTTTGAATTCAGAGTTTTCCTTCTCCTAGACTGGTTGCCACCCAAATCTTAAAGGGTCAAATCTGTCCCGCTATTTACCCATAGCTGGGGGGAAGAGGTGGATTCATGACTTTCCCAAGGGTATTATCACGTAAGTGAATTCAAAGGACACGAATAGAATTCGAACTCGTGCCTCCGATTCCTAAATCCTAACCGCAAGCTCCACCGTTCTTCCACTAATTTTTTATATGGTCTGTGGGAAAAGCAAGATCCCAAATCTGAGAAAACTCCTTCGCTTTGCTCTCGATAATTAAATTTAGGTCAACTGTCCAGAACTAGGTGATATATTTGACCATAAATATCCCGAAGTTTCTCATTCTTTAAGACAGGTACTGTTTGTTGCGTTTGTATAGTTCCCAGTTGATCCGTTTTCTCAAACAGTCATATTCACTTCTGAACTAAGCCATCTTGCTAAAATCGCTTATTATGTAGCCTATTATCTTACCTTTGTGTCCGCATAATCTACATTTGCTATGCTTCTTTGTAAAACGAAAAAGTATAACAAATGTAGATTATAGTCTGAGTCATTATATACCGGGTTATTGAAAACTAACTCCCCATTTTAAAATACTTATAATTCATTTATTAACTATACATTTTACAAGAAATAGATATGAGAAGAAAGCGCTAAGGGTGAGGTTTTATTTAAAATTCGATATGTGCACCAGATTTCGCTAGCAGCTTCTCGAGCCATCCAGGAATCACGTCATCTGATTTCACCAGGAACTCTTGTGGGATGGAAGACATAACTTCTTGAAGTTCTTCCAAAGTGTTTGGTTTGGTATGGTAGACAGGCTTCTTTAACCAACACCAAAGAAAAAAGTCACAGTATGTTATGGTTATTTGCCTTACCTACCCGCGAGTGGCACAAAATCGTTTTTTTTAATGCGGGGGAAAAACCGAACCCGTAGGCTCGGGCAAAAATATCCGGTAGACCCCGTACACACGGGGTCGGGTAGCTGTCTACCACCCCAGACGAGAATATGCCCTTCAGCATTGCCTCGTCTGGATTCCTCTCTGCCCAGCTGGAGACGAATCTCCAACTAATTGCCAAAAAAGCAAGTCAAGTCACAGTGTGTTAAGTCAGGACTCCCGGCTGGCCACTCATACATAAAATAGGGAGTTACTTTTCAATCAACCTGTCCTTGTTTCTTATAACATTGCTCTGAACCGCCATTAACAGTGATTCAGTTCCTCTATTTAGAATATTCCTTACGTAAGCACGTCCTTGTTTCATTCTCTTTTGAAATGTCTCTGGAGTTATTTGTCACTTCATATTTTTTGGTTTCTATTTTCACATTTCCTGTTTCTCTGTTAGCCCTCGTATTTTTTCTCATTCGGTTTTTGACTGATATTAATGACATTTTCCTTATTCTGCTTTGTGTAGTTATACAGTCTCTTTATCGAAGGTCTAGAACCAAATATATTCTTCTTCTACGTGTCGTGTCCATTCAGGACGGTGGCGATAATGACTCTCCACATTTTCCTGTCTCTGTAGTGCGTAATAAATTTCGTCTTTTTTTTATCTCTCACAAACCTTGCTCCACTATCGATTTACTCAAGCTCTCTAGGTAGGTTGTGCATTGTTTTCCTATATCTCTCTTGTATCCAATATAATCTGTTATTATCGAATTTTCCAATCCCTTTTTCCTCATTATGTGCCCTAGAAATTTCTACTTGATGTTTCTTGATGTTTAATATAAGTATCCTTTTTCTTTCTATCGTCTCTAGAACTTCGATATTGCTCACATATTTGGTTCATGGCATGCTCAGCAACCTTCTGTAGAACCACATTTCTGTTGCTTTATGTCTCTCCTTCATCTGTGATGAGATTATCCAGCATTCACTGCAATATAGGAGGACTGATATTACGAAACAGTTCAATAATCTCTTCTTTGTTTCTAACGAAACTTTTATGTTACTTGATACTATGCTTAGCTTTTTGGAAGGCATCTTTCTTCTTTAAAAAATAAAGTACAATTGATTTTTAATCAATTATATATTCGCCATTATTTGCAATGAATTGTTGACACTTATCAGGCAGTTATTTGATAACTTTGGAGCAAAATTCTGTAGGCTTTGATATAAAAAAAAAATTCGACGATCTCTTGAATCAGGTTTTATTTAAAAAATCCCCCCCCAACTCCATCAAAGCCTTCTCCAGCAATCTAAATATTAATAACTGGTTGGTGAAAGGTCAAGAGAATATGGCGGTTGGGGTAAAATAGACCAAGTTTCAGTTTTTTCCTGGGTTATTTTTGCTGAAAGTGGCCTTGCGTTGTCATGGAAAGCAACATTTTTCCTATTGACGAGACTAAACGCTTTTCGAACAGATTGCAGCTGCTGGACGTATAAATGTGCATTTAGTGTTTCATTGCATTTTAAGAAGTCTAAACTAATAATACCCCCCAGCACCCCAAAAATTGCGGTACACGCACAATGGAGCTCAATTTTTAGAATCGGTTTCGAAATTTATTCTTGTAAATTCAGTATAGTATGTAACGAATTTTTCATCACCTATTATGACGTATTTAAAGAACACTTAATTAAGATAATATATTTGATATTACAACTCCTAAATCAAATCTTATAAACGAGTGCTACAGATTCACAAACAAAGAACTTTACTTAACAAAACTCACATTGCTTGAAGACTTCCAACATCAGAAACAACTAAAATGGTTAGCAAATGTAATAATTTATTTAATCATTTCACCCCAAGAAATGTAATAAAGCCACTAAAACGCAAGGGATTAATGAGTATGAAAGAATATGAGAAAAAGAAATCATAAACGAGAGAAAACAATAAAAGAACAGGAATTAAGAAGACAGAATATAACGATTAACATTTCATTTAAAATTTTTGAAGATCAAAATTGACTAGGAATCAAGAAACCATAAGAGAGTTCCACAAGCGAGGAGTTCCAGAGAAGAAACTGTATATCATAGAACTTACGGTTACATCTAGCCATTGAGACCTAACTGCCAATCTAGTACTGTGCTTAAATTCATAAAATCAAGGTACCAAAGAGGGAAGCTCACCAGAACAATTACCATGAAGATATTTATAGAAAAGCACAGGGAATCTACGTTACGGTGGTGGGGAAGTGAGTAAATCCGAGATATCATGTCAGGACCGATAATAGTTCAAGTTCTTCTTTGGATTTTATCAAGAATCTCTAAATACATAGCGGAAGCACCAGACCGGCTGTGATAGAAATATTAAATGCATGGAAGAATGGTCGACTTATGAATGTGTAAGATATATAATTGTTGTGGACTTGTTAGGGCCAGAATTAAAGAGAGGAATTGAGTTAAACAAATATATTAACAAAAAACAGTAATAGAAACGAGAGTGTTACAGCAAGAATGTTCGGTCTGACTGTCAGAGCTCACTGCTGGAAACTTCACTCCCCAAAAGGCAGTACCTGCTCCTATTTATAGCTAGGAGAGTCCATGTTAGTAGGTAAATTGCCATAACAATAATATAATCAAGATGTTG